TATTACCATTGATATTGCCATAGCTATAGCAATAGCCATAACTATTACCATTGATATTGCCATAGCTATAGCAATAGCCATAGCTATTACCATAGATATTGCCGTAGCTTTCGAACTATGACTATTACCCCGCTAGCATAGCTGTCGGAGTGGCATGGATTGTCATATGTCCTTTTATATAGCGCTACGTGTCTAGCAAAGCTGAGACTATTAACTGCTGTGCCGGCTGCCAGCTATAAACTATAAGGTCGATTCGATTCCCTTTTCAAGCTGCCCAACCAATTCAATTACCTGTCAAATCTGGACAGGACGGCCTTTCAGGCCTTTTTTATTGTCATTATAGTATTACGGGGAACCCCGTAGCAGCCACATCCGTGCTCAAGCCTCCAACGAGGGAACATGCTGGAGCTGCACCCACCAGCAGGTGCGATACCTGCTACAGCAGGTGGGGGCGATACCGGCCAGGGGTCAGCCGGTAGCATCAGGACCGAGCTTTTTCGATTCGATGGGCCAGTCACTGTGCCTCCTCCCCTCCGGTCCCCTCCCCCTATGAACATCAGCAGTCTCTGCTCAATGCCACTGGGGGGGACCAACGCCATATTATCTCTAGGTGGCGGGCGCCAAGCTTGCCCAGGAAGGTGCATGAGGCCAATGGGGATTGAACCCAAGACCTCCTGAATGCCACTTGCGTGCCCTACCAATCTCCGTGTGCTTTTTTTTCCCTTTTTTTTTGTTTGCGTGTGCTTTTTTGTTACCTACCTAAGTTTTTGTTTTTTTTGTTTTTGTTTTTGTGTCACTAGGTGGCGACCTAGCGGAAAGGTCAGAGGACGGGGACAAGCACGAGAACTGCCCGGGGATCGAGCCTCGACTGGAGACGGAAGAAGGACACCCACAAGCGCGAGATGGTGAGGGTGAGGTAGGGGCAAATCGTTCTGCGTCAGCCATCGAGTGCAGCACGACGACGACGTCAAATCATCAACATCATCATGACGCCATAGCCGCCGCCATAGCTCGACTAGAGGAGGAAGGACACCCTCAAGCGCAAGAAGATAGTATTCGCACTGCACGCAGTTGTTGCGGTGATAGGCCGACGGTGGACATGCCGGTGGCTATGGAAGAAAGGAGGGGAGTGTGCTTGGATGAAGATGAAGCAGCAGACGGAGCGGCAGCTATGGCGGCGGCGGCTATGTCGAAAGGAAGCGGGGATCCCTCGGTCGAGCCATGGCGAGTGGCAGCTATGGCGGCGGCGGCGGCGAGTCATCCTGCGTCAGCCATCGAGTGCAGCACGACGACGTCAAAGCATCAAAATCATCATGATTGTGACGTCAACCTGCCGACGATGAGTGGAACAGAGGATAGAGAGGAAGGTGAAGAAGGTAATACTCGCTATGCACGCAGTTGCGGTGATGGGGTGATGGTGGACATGCCGGTGGCTATGGAAGAAAGGAGGGGAGGAGGAGGATGCTTTGATGGAGGAGCAGATGGAGCGGCAGCTATGGCGGCGGCTATGGCGAAAGGAAGCGGGGATCTCTCGGGCGAGGAGGCGCTGGATGGTCGTGTTGGTGGTGGGGGTCATGGGCGAGTGTCGAGTGCTGGTCTAGAGGAGTTTTCATGTGGAGAATTTGGGGAGAGTGGTGAGGGAGGTGATGATGCTGACAACGAAGGTGACGTGGAAGATGATGGGCATGGACACGTGGACGACAGCGAGGGGTTCGGAACCGACATGGATGAGGAGTATATATTGTCCGCCGATCAGGATGATGGGGAGGAGGGGGGAGAAGAGGGAGGGAGAGATGGGATGAGGAGGAGGGGGAGGGGGAGGGGGAGGAGGCGCTTGGACATGGTGAGAGCTGACGCGCGAGATGATGACGCGCGGGATGATCTCGACGATCTTAAGCTTCTGGATCCGGATCCCGACAACGAATTGTATAGTAACCCTGTTATTACCTCGATGGGTGCCGTAGAAGGACGAATCGGGGTCGGGCAGGTGGTTGGTGATGATGACCTTGAAAACAGTGGTTATGGACATAGAGACGATAACCAAGGGGGGCATTTAGATAATAAACAGTCGGACCGGAGGGCAGGCAGGGGTGTGGAGCATGAAGACGGAGATGACGAGGCTGAGTATTATGATGATGATGATGATGATGATGATGATGATGATGATGATGAGGGGGTGGAGGAGAGGGTGGAGGAGGTGGAGGAGGGAATGGCTCTTATCTATGTTAGCAGCGAGTACGCGCCCCGCGATGGATCGGGCGAGGATGGTCGGCCACGTGGCATCCCGATCGCGACACACGTGGCAGCAGCTATGGACGGCGAGCGGACTCTTAAGAACGAAGGATCAGTGTTGATTGAGCAAGCGATGGCTATGGCGGCGCGACGCAGTGGAGAGGATGATGGTCTTGATGGGTCGGCGGCTTCGTTACGACCGGTCATAGCTGATTCTGAAGAAGCTATGGCTATGGTGGCTGGCGTCGAAGGGGAAAGGGAAGGTGAAGGTGGAGCTATGGCGGTGGCTGGGGCGGCGGAAGGTGGGCGGGTGGTCTGTAATTACAGAACCGATCATCGGCGGTGGAGGAAGACGGATGGAGATCGACCTGCTGTGTACGGTCATCAACAAAGAAGGACATCTATGGAGAGAAAACACCTTGCCATTTCAACGGCTGCCTCTAGAGCGATCCGAGCAGCAGTGGCTAACACAGCTGCTGTCAATCTGGAACAAGCCGCAAAGGGCAGTAAAGTAGTAGTAGGAGGAGGAGGAGGAGGGGAGCAAGAAGAAAAGACGGGGCAGAGTGACAGCGTTGGTGTTGCGGCGATGGCGAAAGAGGGGGAAGAGAAGGGAGGTGCTCCAGCTTGGGCGAGAGAGGTGGAGGTGGTGATTGGCAAGGAAGGAGGGAGTGGGGTAACGCCGGCAAGGACGGAGGTGGAGGATCCAAGGAAGACGCCGCTGTCTAAGGAAGCTAGAGAGTACTTTCGTCTAGGACAAGTCCGAAGGAAAAAAGACTTTGTTTGCTATGAGCAAATTCAAGGGAGAAGGGTACGGTCAAAAAGAGATTCGATCAATCCAATCAATCCCCCAAAAGAAGGCCTTTTTAAACTTTTTCCTTTGTTGGGGAAACTCCGTCGAAACAGTCTCTCACGGCCTCTCGCCTTTTCTCCCTCTCTGACTACGGATCACCAGGCAGTTCACTCTGACGACAGCCTCCTGATAAGTCAGTTGGTGAAAACTCCGACGGAACAGTTCGTCACACCCCCTCGTTTGTTGTCCACTTCTCCCTCTTGTCCCTCTCTGCCTACGGTTTACCGGGGCAGTTCTGTTTGACGATATATATAGGGTTCAGCTGCCTGATGAGTCGGAGTTTCTCCGACGGAACACAACACACTGTCACAGCCCCTCGTTTGTTGTCCCCTTCTCCCTCTCTACCTACTGTTTACCGGGCAGTTCGGTTTGACAACATATATCATTTGGAAGTGCCCGGTAAACCGCAGGCAGAGCTGTGATATTCTTGTGACAATATATACTCCCTCTCTGCCTACGGTTTACCGGGCAGTTCTATTTGACGATATATACCTGTCATCCACGTGGCTGGCCTTGTACGTAGGAGGTGATGAGCAGGTGGGGCTTTCCTTCCTTACTTTGTTTCTTTCCCTTCCTTGTTTTGCGTTTTTCCGCCTTTGCGCTCCAATTCACAGTGTGACAATATATTGTCACAAGAATATCAGAGTGCAAATGCGAAAAAAAAGGAAAAAAAGAAAGAAAAACAGGAAAAAATGAATTCAAATTTTTATCTTCTTCCTTATAACTCCCCCTGTTCAGAACCTCTTGCGTACAAGGCTGCTCACGTGGATGTAGGTTGAGCGGCCGCTGCGCCCACCCCGGTGTGTCATATCGACCCACTTGCACACAGCCAAAAGGCAAAGAGGCAAAGAAAAGAGGAAGGGAACAGCCAAATAATACAGAACAGGGGGCAACGAAACAGATCCCAGATGACAAGTCCCACATGCAAGCTATTGTCACAAAATTATCAGAGTGCAAAAGCGAGAAAAAAAACAACAGAGAAAACAAAGAAAAATAAATTCATATTTTTATCTTCTTCCTTACAACTCCCCCTGTTCAGAACCTCTTGCGTACAAGGCCGCCCACGTGGATGTATATATTGTCACAAGAGTATCAGAGCGCAAATGCGAACAAAAAGGAAAAAAGAAAGAACAACAAGAAAAAATGAATTCAGTTTTTTTATCTTCTTCCTTATAACTCCCCCTGTTCAGAACCTCTTGCGTACAAGGCCGCCCACCTGGATGTAGGTTATATAGTCAAACAGAGCTGCCCGCATCAACGTCTGAAGGAGCATTGGCATGTGCGACACTCTGCTGCCGATTATTGTCATCGGCACCTTTATCGCGTTATGCGACAACAATCTCCTTTTAATTTTGCTGTTTGGCCACTTGAACGCATTGATCGTGTGCTCTACATTAATAATCGTGGTGAGATTGATCATGACCTTTTCCGACGGGCGGCTTCACCTAGACAAGGGTTCTGGGTTCGACGGCTTCGTACCCTGCATCCTTCGGGTTTTAATGCAGTCCTTCCTATGTCTCGATTACTGCCTGTTCGATGGCAGCCACGCCCTGATCACTGGCGGCAAGTTGGTCCTTCTTCTGCTGTTCCCTCTCGCTCTGCTGCTGCTTCTCCTAATCCTTCATCTTCTCGGGCCTTTACTATTCATATTAGCCCGGGCCCTCAATTAGCAGTGCGAACCACGCTGCGGCATTTATTGTCGTTAGGTGCGGCGGGTGCTTGGCCTGAAGTTGCTGCTTTTCTTCAGCAGGCTACGCCTGCCCGCCGCGCTCGATTGCTGCAGTGGCTGTAGATAAATGTTCCTAATTCTGCCATGACCGCGGACATCCGTGAACTTGAATGTCTTATTCGGCAATCTCAACATGTCCGACAGCGATATACTGCTCGGCCCCATGATAGCTCCGGAAACTATATTAGGATTGCCCATATGCACGAGGTTCTGAACGCCACAAAGTTGCGACAGGTGTTGCACTCTCCAGATGTGCGTGCACTGCACCTGGACCCCCACGCAGCCAGCACTATTCGTATTTGTGATAAACTTGTACCCCCGACAAGGGTGCAATTTTGTAACTTTACAGAGGTTGCCTTGAGTGTTACTCTGGGCCTATGCCTTCCTGCTGCTGCTGACTGTCCATGTCGCCGGGTCTTTCCTAATTGCACCGATTTGGTTGACGGCCATGTTGTTTCCGCCAACTATGATCTGATTCCGGATGCTAATCTTCGGCGTCTATTCTATGAGGGCTCTAAATATCGGCTGAATGGGGCAGTAGGGGATGTACTTGAGGCACTGGCTGTTGGTATTGACGAGTATCATCACGACAATCCTCCGCTGCTACCCTTGCGCACCAATTGCATCTTTGGCGTGCCGCAGTTTTGCGCCATTGTGAGTCCAATATGACTACTGCAATACCTTTTCGGCAACCCCGCGCTCTGCGACACACACATGTGGCTCTGCGCCAGCTTCAAGATTCCTTTGCGATTGTTCCTGTCGACAAGACATCACATAATTTGGCGATTTGTTGCAAGGACTGGTATCGTTTCCATCTTTCTACTCATCTTGACAGTCCTACATATTCCTGGCCTACGGAAACAGTGGCCAATATTCTGAATCGCCATGCACTTTGGAACAATCGTTGGAATTACCCTCATGCTGACACATTGCCATATCTCTATTGCGCGCTTAAGGCCCATAAGTCTCCCCCTGCACTCCGAACTATTCTTGGTATCACTTCCCGTAACAACCTTTCTTCTTCTCATATGGCCCAGCGAAATGACCTGCACTCTTCCCAACGAGTCCAGCGTTTGCATCACCGGCCGCCTCACAAGCCTGTTGCTAGCACAACAGCAACTTCGGCTCGTTTGAGTGCGGCACTTCAAGGCGTCATCCGCACTCTTCGTGAAAAAGATAATCAGCTTTTTCAATGCGAAGGCATTCGACGATGTTGGATTGTTCAGAGCAGCGACGAGGTCATGCTTGACCTAAAAAAGAATAAAGCATCTCTTTGAGGTCTGGTCCCTCATACGGTCGATTTTACTACCATGCATACCAATCTTCCTCATCAACGCATTCTTAACAATGTTGCTAATGCCGTTGATGAGGCACATGCCTACGCTCTTACACAGGCACAGCAGCATACACGGTCACGTTCATCCAATATTGCTCTTCGTATGGTGGTCCGTGGACCGCGTGCAGGGGAATGGACAACCGATACGGGACCTGACACTCTTTATGTGTCGGACATTCTTCAACATCTTCGTTTTATTGTTACTAATACATACCTATATACAGCGGATGGCCTTGTGCGTCATCAAGACGTCGGTATCCCTATGGGGACAAATGCTGGTCCTGAGATTGCTAATCTTACACTTTATTGGGATGAGGCACAGTATGTGGACAACCTGCAACGTGTGGATGCTTCTGCTGCTCGACAATATGCTTTCACTTATCGTTTCATTGATGATGTCCTCACTTTTGGTTGCCTCCTGCCATCGCCAGCCTGTTATGGTCTGGAATGGAAGGAGACAACGGATCCTGATGGTTCTTGCACTTTCTTAGGTGCAAAGCTGCAGACACGCGTAGATGGATCCCTCCGATTGAGTTTGTATGATAAGACTGTTGCATGGGGTTTCCCTGTTGTACGATACCCTAGTGCAACGTCAAACATTCCATCTCATCAGCCTGCAGGTGTGTTCACTGGCCAGCTTACGCGGTTTGAGCAGATTTGTGACAATTGGCATGATTTTAAAACGGCAGCAGCTTTGCTTGCCCGCCATTTGCTTTCCCGTGGCCATGTTCCATCAACACTGGCTCGAGGATGGACTTGTTATATTCGTGCTCGCCAGCGTCGGCAGCCTACACATGTGACGAGACTTACACAATGGTTTCGTCGCATGCCTCGTTGGTC